GCTGTGCCTCCACTGAAGTGACTTTTCCTGGGACTGCACAGCTCTCTGCATCAGGATGGCAGGCCTCGTGTCCCTTTATTTTCATTCATTTTGACAGGGGCACCATTATGGGTTTTTCCTCCTGCCTGAACCCAATTTAAAAGGCATAGCTCCATTTAAGATGGTCTTTATTGAAGTAACCAATCATAATATCTCAATAAGTATAGAAGCAATATTATTTTTATCAAGACTATTTCTGTTCTTGGTTTGATGTACAATAGATCTTAAAGTAATTTTGACCTTTATTCCAAACAGGAGGACTGAAAGTAATATTCAGATAACTGAAATGAACAACCTATGCCCGTTAATTCAGAACAACATGCTCTGCAGTTGGATTCCTTGATCCCGGAGAGTCTCTGGGGCAGGATCCCTGGAGGTCTGCACCTGGGCCAATGCTTGGGTCTCTTTACTAATACTGCCCCTCTCAAGAACTGCAAAGGGGGGCAGAGCTGCACAGCAGTGTCACTTATGTAGAGCGTTCTCATTAGTGAAGGGCCTGAAGCTCACAGTGGCCCCCAGTCAGAGGTTTAGAGGCCTTACTTTTATAACAAAGTGGCCGAGGCTCAGTGAAGTGAATTAATTCTACTATCACACGACTGTGGGATACCCTCCAGCTCAAGAGGGAACCCACCGACCTGCAAGCCTCCTTTGTAGAGGGCGCAGTGCTGGGCAGGCATCATTGTCCCTGAGCTGAAGAGGACAGGTAAGAGTACTGTTGCTGAACTGCCTCTTGGGGGTCTGCTGTTCTCACCCCAATGGGCGTTTAAGCTCTGAGAGCACTGCCCACGCTCTTCTGTTGTATGTCGGCTCTCTCATGGTACAAAGTACCTAACAGGTTCTCAATAAACCAGGGTCCTAAACCTGGACTTCGCTGAACAGAATAAAAACTTGTCTCGTGAAGTTTTAAGTGGATGTGTGAGCATTTTTCTGATGGCCTTCATCAGATACTTAAAGGAACCTGTAAACCTAAAAAAGTTAATCCGTAAAATAAATGATGGCTTTTAAATGTCCCCATGTTGATCTATTATTTTGCTTTGGATTTGATCCTTTATTCAGGCAAAAATAAAGAGCTGTGTTAGGGAACTGAATTGAAAGCCATTAAAACATATGTAGGCTCTAAGACTTCCAAATGGTTGCCTTAAGAGCAGCTCTTTCCTCATAGTACCTGCTGTGATGCCATGAAGAACCAATGTTAAGTCCCAACACTACATTCTAAAACATGATATAAAATGAAAATTTATTCAGAGATGCCACCAAATTAAATGTAAAGGTCCACCAATTTTGAGATGCTTTAAAGGTTTACTTAATGCAACAAATCTGAGCACCAAGAATATTAATGATTTGTCACAAATTTTTCCCTAATATGTAACAATGTGTTACAGTTTGGTACTCTTTGCTCCTCTTCATGAAATATTTTTTTAGGGGCTCCTGGGTGGCTCAGTGGGTTAAGCATCCGACTCTTAATTTCGGCTCAGGTCATGATCTCATGGTTTGTGAGTTCAAGCCCCAAGTCTGGCTTTGCATCATGCTGACAGTACAGAGCCTGCTTGGGATTCTCTCTCTCTCCTTCTCTTTCTGCCCCATCCCTGTATGCTCTCTTTCTCAAAATAAATAAACAAACTTAAAAATTTTTCGTGTAAAAATTATATAAAATTTGGTAAAAATTTTTCATACTTCTGGGGTATGAATATGAATCATCTTGCTTTACATTCTTATACAGGTATCAAACTATGTTATATCTCGTGCAAAAAAAAATATCAGTCACCTGCATATACATATAATTTTCATTCCTTTCCAGAATGCTTTATAATTAGTACTGTCTGACAAGAAGTTTTAAGCTTCTTTGAAAAAACTTGTGCTTGGCATGTTTATTAATGGCAGGAAAGCCAAATCAATCTATGTATGCGTTCTAATATAGAGTAAAATTTTAGGTGAGGATTTACTCCTTTAAGAGACCATTTATAATTACAACCAACTGCTCACCTCCTATCTTGGTGGCTGAACAAAAGAAAGCTAATAAGCCCGAACCAAGGCAAAGTTAAAATCAATGTTTCAAGTGAAACATCAGAAAAAGCCTTGGTGTGTTTGCCATATTTGCCTGTATAAGATAAGCCTGGGAAGCAGAAAGACACTCTCCTGTTACAGCTGATTTTTTTCACCTAAGTTACAAACCTTCTAAATCCACCCCGTGCTGAAGCTTACTCTTACTACTACCCTGAGTATAAATAACACCGTTCCTTTGAAACTGCCTCTTTCACACAGGCAAGAAACATTTACTGAGTGCCTAACTACGTGCCAGTACTGAGAAATAACAAGGAGTAACACAAGCCCATACATTCATAGGTCCTGTCTGGTTAGTGCTGGGATTGAGGAATCCAGAGTGCTCCCTAAGAGCACGGAGCTCTGCCGTGGTGTATGCTCGATGAGAATTACCTCCCCTTTTCTTTTGCTTTGCTTCTATGTATTCAAAGCCTGTTATCTCCGGAGCACAATTATTTTAACCATTACTCTGCACCCATAATATAAATAGGTTTCATTTCCTATTTCATGTCCAGAAAAACTGAATGAAGTACTCAAAACATCATGTTTAAGTTAATGCTTATTGAACAGGGAGAAGCAAAAAAAAAAAACAGAACCCAAAAAACCGCAGTACAAATTGTCCCTGACTCAACCGTGGCTTTTAATGCACCACGACCCACCTTAATCATTTCTTGGTAAATGTAGTAAACACATGGTTATGTGAAGAATGCTAATCCCTATCTACTGAGCCTGCCCTAAAGTACGATGTTTTCATATATTTTCAACAAGAACCTCGCTTATAACTACAATAAAAAATGTATTCTGAGTTCTACACATGTGACTGCATATCCTATTAGGATTTATAAATCCATGGGTCTAAATATATAACATTAAACAAATAGCAGATTTAAAAACAATGTTTTTTTAATTTTACATATATATGTAGGCTTCATGACCAGTGCAGAGCCCAATGACCGTGTTCAGTGGAACACACAGCCGTGAGATCACGACCAGAGCAGAGATCAAGAGTTGGTCACTTAACTGAATGAGCCACCCCTGTTAAAGATTTTATTTTTAAATAATCTCTACACCCCACGTGGGGCTTGAACTCACGACCCTGAAATCGAATTGCATGCTCTTCCAACTGAGTCAGCCAGGAACCCCAAACAAATAGCAGATTAGAAACAGCCACATTGCTGATAAAATCTAAATTACTGCATTGATTTACCCATGTTTTAGCAATGCTTACGATGTATTGATCTTGATCAAATAATGCTGCCTTCTCAATGTAAAACAGCAATCCCTCTTTTAAGCAGCAGAACAATTTTTCTAAGAACAGGTGCAAAAGCATGGTACGGGGAATACAATGTTTTTAAAATAACAAGGACGAACATGCAGTGAAGGTACTGTTGGGAAACAAATCATTCTTAAGTGTTAAATGATACGCTGTGAAATTCGGTATCATTTCATCTTTCACTGCTATGGAACAGGACAGTGCTGCCAGAGTTAAGATGACTGCAGTTAAGAGGGAAAAGCCCTCTGCCCTCTATCTGAGCTGAGACCCTGCAACCAATCCTATCTATCTGGTGAGCTCAAACAAACACAGAAAATTATTTAGTCTGAAATGGGATATGCTGTAAAGAATGAGATTGGAAAGTGAAATGATACAACAGTGTTTTCCTCTCTGTTTTCTAGTGTTTTGCTCTTAAAGAGGAATAATGGAAACCTTAATTATATCATCCACTGAGGTTAATCCATACTTACTAGTAAATGTCATAGTTTTTTGCAAAATGGGGTTCATCCTTTTATCTGATTCTTCATATTAACAAAGTACATGAAGTGCACCAAAATTTTCTCTGATCATCTTACACACTTGCAAGTATTCTTCATTATTGTATAAGGAATATTAGCCAGTAATTTAGCAAAAGCTCTGAATCAAATTACTTTCTACCTGCTTTGTGTATCTGGAGCCTCAAGAACTGAACAGAGGGGTCTTACAAATTAGGCCAATGTTTTAGAAGACAGGTGACATTTATCTTCAAGTTTCTAAGTTTGATATACACGCATGCCTGCATTAAAAGCTCTGGGAAGGAATGGGCTTCACCTCTCCTCAGAGTAATGGGATCATATCCTGATTTCACAAAAACAGTTATTAAGTTCCTGGAAACATTACGGAAACCGATGGAGTATCTGAATCATCTACGGATGATCTGAATCATCAGTATCTGCTGGTGGTATCAGTACCAGTGACTGATCATGTACAGTTGTGAAAGAACAAAGGATCAAAAATCATTATGAAAAATAATAAAACCAAATTCTTTATCGGTTATATTCCAATTACATTCTCTCTTGCATGGGTTTATCAGGTGATCTGTATAAGCCTTGCTAACTCAAGTTATGGTTCATGGACCAGCATCACGTGGGAGCTGGAACCCTCCCCCCAGACTAGTGAATCAGAATTTGCATTTTAACAGATTCCTAGGTGATTGCACATTTAAGGGTGACAAACAGTGACCTCGAGTTGCTGAATCACAGGCCTCAAGAGCTGCTAAGTCATGTACTTTATCCTTCTAACTTCTATAAAAAAAGGCAGACAGGACACAGGCTTCAGCAGTTAGGTTGAAACTACTCTTCCTCTGTAGTAAAGCCATTGGCACTTGGGTTTTCATTGCATACCGATTTTGACATTTGTAAACATCACTGCCGATATCAAATACAAATACAGAATTTAATATTCTTTGTAAGGTCATGCTTGAGAACTGAAAATTTAATGCCTCCACAGACAAAATGGAAACTAGGGCTTATATAAATGGGTATACACTAGGCAGTTTCTATGATTGGCTGTAAGAAAACCCCGGCTCACCAGTCACTGAATCTTTCAAGGCTAGAGGTAGAGGCTTAGACTGAGAAGCTGCACACATGTCATGCACGCCGGTTCTTACCTGTTTGTACTCAGATTCTCTTCCAACCAATACCTGCAGAATGTAGTTGACAGGGTCACCTTTCATCGGTGGTACCGTCTCCCATAAAATTTCACATGAATTTCCTTCCAACTGTGTGACTCGAGGTGCTGAAATACAGATCCACAGATCCAAGCTCAAAATCCAAAATCATAGTAACAGTCAACATTTTGGTAATACTGGAGAGGGAGAGTGCTTAGTGTCCGCTCTGAGAGGGGGGTTTATTGGCCCAACCTCCTACAAGACCTGCGGGGAGCCCTTTATAAAGAAAAGATCCTCCATGACTAGCAAGCCATTGATGAAAACTCCTTTGCTTATTATCCTATTAAAAACTGCTCAGCCTCCATTTGCAACTATGTGGATGGGGCTGGAGGGTATTACGCAAAGTGAAATTAGTCAGACAAAGACAAAAATCATATGACTTCACTCGTATGAGGACTTTAAGAGACAAAACAGATGAACATAAGGAAGGGAAACAAAAATAATATAAAAACAGGGAGGGGGACAAAACAGAAGAGACTCATAAATATGGAGAACAAACAGAGGGTTACTGGAAGGGTTGTGGGAGGGGGGATGGGCTAAATGGGTAAGGGGCACTAAGGAATCTACTCCTGAAATCACTGTTGCACTATATGCTAATTTGGATGTAAATTTAAAAAAATAAAAAATAAAACATGTTAAAAAAAAAAAAAACGGCTTAGCCTGGATTGCATTTTTGTTCTTTTTCAAATAGCTATTGAACACGTTGTAGGATTAGGCCCTGAGCTGGGTACTTTGGAGAATTCAAAACATGGACTATAAACCTTGCTTTCTAGGGAATTAAGACCTAGTTGAGGGAAGGGAAGAGCAAGGTTTGAGACAAATACAAAGAGAAATAAAATGTGAGCAAGTTCCAGGGGGAAGGTTTGAGGAGGGGTGACATGTGAGCTTAAGTCCCAGAGAATGGTCAGCATTGTGAGAAAGCCTGTAAAAGTCAAGTTATCTCATATTTGTATATATTTTTTAGTACATTTTTCACCTCCTGGACTCCTAATTCTGGCTTAAAGGAAAATTACATTAGTTTGTAGTAAAGCATGTAAAATGTTACAGAATTTTAAAATATTTTCTCATAGCCTATGCTATCTCTCTACAGCTTAATTCAATATCTGATATTTTTCTACGTTATAACTAGAACACATAACTCCTCTCTGAACCCCCTTATTCTTTAATTTGTGATTACATGAAATTAATTCTTTAGAGGTAGCTGTTTCTATTTGCATCTGATAGTACTGTTTTGGAAAAATAAAGGCTTTCTCAAAAATGAGTTGCAATTAACTGGCTAAAACCCTAATTAATTTATGGAAAAAATAAGGCTCTCCAGCTTATTATATTATATCTATCTATATCTATCTATCTAGATAGATAGATATAGATAGATAGATAGATAGATAGATATATTATATTTGGAGGACCAAATAGTTCTCCAGCTAAGGTAACAATTTCCTGAACTGAAGAGGAAGAGGAAGAAGATCTGACCATGCGGCAGTGTGAGGAGCGTGTCCTTCTGTAGAAAATGTACCATGAAATTCAAGTGCTATCAATTTAGTATTCCATTGTCCACAAAATGAATCTCCACCAACAAACATGTTGAGAGACAAAATTAGTGGCAGAAAGACCCTTGACAGGGCACCTGGGTGGCTCAGTCGGTTAAGCGGCCGACTTCAGCTCAGGTCATGATCTCATGGTCAATGAGTTTGAGCCCCACATCGGGCTCTGTGCTGACAGCTCGGAGCCTGGAGCCTGTTTCGGATTCTGTGTCTCCCTTTCTCTCTGTTCCTCCCCCGCTCACACTCGGTTTCTCAAAAATGAATAAACCTTAAAAAAAAAGAAAATTAAAAAAAAAAAAAAAAAAAAAAAAAA